ACTGGTCCCAGGTGGGGTACACCCCAGTGCTTCCCAGTAGAATAATGGGAAATGTATATAATTGTAAATTTTCTTTAGTTGTATTTTTACTGTATCTTTAGTTGTATTTTTACTGTATCTTTAGTTGTATTTTTACTGTATCTGTAGTGGCAGATACAGTAAAAAAGCTGTTAAGAAAATGTGTCAGTTGGTACACCTGTTGGTTAGCTATACCTGAGAATAGCAACTTACAGAAGGAAGGATTTATTTGGTTCATGGTTTCAAAGTTTCAGTCCATGGTTAACTGGTTCCATTGCCAGGGTCCTGAGGTAAGGTAGACTATCATGGTGGAAAGACAAGGTAGACTAAGGCTGCTCATCTCATGGGAGCTGGGAAGTAGAGAATGAGGGAAACAACCAGAGAAGAAGGGGCCAAGGACAAGATATAGTCTCCATGGTCATGACTTCATGACTCACCCCCTTCAACTAGCCCCCACCTCATGTCTGGGTGTGATGACCATTTGCTACATGTGTTTCCTGGGAACTGGAGGGTAAAGACAATCATGAGGCAGTGAGACAGAGAGCTGAAGAGAACTTGCATCAACAAATATCCAAGATACCCCCAAGGCCAAACAAAACAACAAAAAGCCAAAATGAGTAGCTAACAGTGAAACCAGGAAGGAAGCAGTGGCTGCTCTGAGTCACCTTCCCTTACAGGGAGGCTAGTATTTGGGGGTGACCCACAGAGCTTGGAGGAACAGAGGGCTCAGACAGTTGAAAGTGAGGAGCTATATCTGAGACACCAGGTAGAGCCAAAATACTTACAGGGTCTCCTCCTCAGGAAAATGGTGGACCAAAAATTACCTAACTGTGAGCAATGCAAAGTTATTACAATATAGGAAAACTGTGTGTCAACACATGAAAGAATGACACTAGACTCTTACCTGATACCATATACAAAAATTAACTCAAATGGATCAAACATCTATGGGTAAGACCTAAAACTATAAACTCCTGGAGAAAACATAAGGCAAAATCTTCACAACTTTGTATTTGACAATGATTTCTTGGACATGACAGCAAAGTCAGAGGCAACTAAAGAAAAATACACACATGGTAGTTTGTGGGGAAAAAAAACTTTAAATTTGTGCATTAAAAGGCAACCCACAGAATGGATAAAATATTTGCAAATAATATATCTGGTAAGGGATTACATCTGGAATGTACAGACAACTTCTATATCTTTTTATTTTTCCTGGTACCGGGAATCAAACTCATGACCTCGCACTTGCCAGGCAGGTGCTGTGCTGCTGAGCTAAATCCCCAGCCCCACAATTTCTATATCTTAACAAGAAATAAAACAGAGGACTTGAAGGGACATCTCTCCAAAGATGAAACATCTCCAAGAATCAGGGAAATAAAACCATAATGAGATATCACCTCATAGCTGGTAGAAGAGCTGTCATAAAAACAAACAAAATAAGGAATGCTAGTGAGAATGTGGAGAAATTGGAATCTTGTGCACTGTTTATGGAATGTAAAATGGTAGCACACAGTATAAAGATTCCTCAATAAAAGTAAAAACAGAACTGCCATAAATCCAGAAACCCCAGTTCTGGATATATATTCTAAGGAAGTGAAAGCAGGATCTCAAAGTGATATTTACACTTCCATATTTATTGCAACACAATCCACAATAATAAGACTTAAAAACAACCTAAGTGACCATCTGTGGGTGTCTGGATAAAGATGCTGAGCTATAGCCATACAATGGAAAGATACTGTCATATGCTACAGGATGCATGAACCCCGAGGACATTATCTAAGTAAGAAAAAAAACCAGGCACAGGACAACTGCTGCATGATTCCACTGAGGTAACATAAGACAATAGTCCAACTTATAGAAGCAAAGAGTAAAGTGGTGGTAGCCAGGGGCTGTTAAGTGGGAGGAGACTTTAAGTTTACTGGGCTTGGGGTCTAAGCCATGCAAGATAGATGGAAAGTTCTAGAGCTCTGCCTTGCTGCAATGTGCATAGAACCAATGGTGCTATACTGTACACTGAGAGGTTTGCTAAGACAGCATGCTTCATGTTAAGCTTTTTTTCTTTTCAGTACTAGGGGTTGAACGGAGGGCCTTTGTACTGAGCTGCATTCCCAATCATTTTTTTAAATGTTGGGGCAGGGACAGGCAAGTCATAAAGTTGCAAAATTGCCCAGGATGAACTTGAACTTGTGATCTTCCTGCCTCAGCCTCTCAGAGTGTCAGGATTACAGACATTTGTCAACATGTTTGTTAGTTCTCTTTACTATAGGTAAAAGAAGAACTTGGCATGGTGGCACACATCTTTAATCCAAGCTATTCAGGAGGCTGAGGCAGGAGGATGGTGAGTTGGGAGTCAGTCTGGGTAGCTTCGCAAGATAAAGTCTCAAAATAAAGTAAAAGGGATTGGGTATGTTGCTCAGCGGTAGAGTGCTTGCCTACCAGGACTGAGGCCTTGGGCTCCATCTCCATGACTGAAAAAAAAAAAAAAGACCTTGGGTCCCAAGCCTAGTGGGGACCCTCACTGTTGTTACTTTTCTGGCTGATGCTGCTGCTACTTCCCCACCCCTCACCAGCACCCCTTCACTTGCATGTCATATGCCACATGTATGTGTACATGTATGCATGTGTGCATGCATGTGTGCGTGTGTGTACTACAAGCCTGTGGGAGGAGCTCATATGAAAACAAGTTCTGCCATCCACCCTGCTCTTCCTTTAGTAACTTTAGATTCTAGTCTGCAGCTATTTAAGGCATGTGGCCTTCGGCTCCGGCTCCTAATGGAAGCACATTGGCTGGAAAATGCAGGCCCAAGTCCTCTTCATTGGTTTCTGTGTTTTCTCTGCCCAAGAGAGGGGCCTGTTAGCAAGCTTTGTCCATCAGCTCTCCTGGGAACTCCAGGATACTTCTCAGAAGTGTGTGCCAAGGGTTGGGTGGTGTTTAGGGAAGACAGCTGACGGCTACCTGCTCTGGGCCAGTGGCTTCGCCCTATGAGCTACAGGTGATATGGAAAAAATGGAAGCCCTCAACTGCTATCTGTCAAATGTGCCAAGTTCGTGTCCTCTGAGTATCAAAGAATAAATTCCAAGGACAAAGTCCCCCCCACCCTCACCAGTATGCTTCAGTTTCTTAGTTGCCCAGTGTCTTGGTTACTTTTCTCTCATTGCTGAGGCAAAATACCTGACACCCAGAATTAAGGAAGGAAAGGTTTATTTAGCTCACAGTTAGTGGAGGTTTCAGTCCATACTCAGCTGGCTCCAAGGCAGAATGCACATGGCAAAGGGCAAACTTCATGGTGGCAGAAAACAGCAAAAGCAGCAAGAGCGAAAGAGAGGAGAGGCAGCCGGCAAGCTGCCACTCCTTTCCCTCCTTTACATTGTATGCGAACTACCCACCCCAGGGCAGGTGTAGCACCCACACCCATAATTGCAACACTGGGCCATGAATCAATCATAAACTCTAAAAGCCCGCAACATGACTGCATGTGGCTTTGGGGGGACATCCAGACACAAACCATAACACCCAGGTAACAATAGTTCCTGTTGCAGTTCTGGTTGCTTCTGCCTCCTAGAAATGGGTAGTCACTGTGACACATAGCTGGTCACTATGACACATATTATAAGAACCAATCCCTAATTGATAAGCCATTCTGCCTCTGTACTTCCTGCTTGCTTATCTCATATAAGCCCTAGACCACCAGAGATCAGGGCTTGACATTTGGGGAATGATCCTGATCAATGCCCATTGATGTAAATAAACCTGGATGTTGTTTCAGTGTTTCTGCTTGCTGTCGCAAAAGGAGATTAAGAGTAGGAAAGGTTTTTAAGAGAAAACTCCTGAGAGACTGGAAGGGTCCTGAATGGGTAGGCACCGAGGCCCTTTGTCAGGAGTAATTCATTCAGCGAGATCACAAAGAGGGTACAATGTGAGTCAGACTACAGTCAACCTACAGGATTACAAGTACTGTATAGCCACTTAGCTAATATTGATCCAACAGGGAAATGAGTCACATAGCAAGGGCACATGGAAAAAACAAAGGCTTGCTTTTGCGAAGGAAGAGAAATATGGGTCCAGACGTTCTGGCCACCCACCTATGCACCTGATGCTTATCTGGGCCCATTGGACCAGGTGGCACCGATTACAGTACAGTCTTAGGTTGCTGTTTATCTTGCACGCCTGGTTATTGCATCTCCAGCCTGAGGTCTGGCTATCTTCAGAGTGGCTCCCAGCCACAGCTCTGATGTCTCTGTTTTTTTTGTGCTGACTTCCTCGAGGGCCCAGTCCTGTGATTGTATGTTAATTTCTAACTAACTTAGATGCCTATACTAGGAGTAGAATCCAGCATACTGCTTTCAAAGAGAATGGGGATTCCCTGGTTACTCGGACAGAAATGGTGGGGCCCGTCACCCTCCTGAGTGGCAGCTCCCCTCAGAGCCACCTTGTCATCCATGTATCACTGGATCTCCAGGCAGCTGGACCCAGGGGACTAATCATAGGGGAGGCATCTGCGGCCAGTGGACGGTGGACCCTCACCCGCAACAGATTGACTCAAAGACCTTATCCAGGCTTCCTCTCTCTCCTCGGCTGATCACTGGCCAGAGCCCTACACCAAACTCAGACCCAGAGTAAACTCCCCTGGCTAAAGGACAAGAGGGGATCACAGAGTCTCGGTGGGGAGGGCAGGCTCCAGATCCCAAACCAGGTACAGGAGGTCCCTCTCTTTGTCCTCTGCTGTGACGCCTCCCCTTGCTGCCGGTCATTACCACAACAAAGGTCAGCGTAGGCTTGGGGAACTCACCGAACCTGTGAGCTCAGTAGGGGGTTTGTGCTCAGGTGTCAGGGACGTGTCTCAGTGGGCCTGTTTCTCCTTGCCTGGAAGAGAAGCTTCCTTTGCAGTGAAGGCCCTGACCCGCGTGGCCCAGAGTGACATATTCGGGAGTGCTGCTGCTGCGGGTGAGGCATGGCAAACACCGCTTCTCTCAGATATTTAAAAATTATTGAATTATATAAAACACATTATTTAAAAGAAACAGCATCATTCCCCTGGGGTAACTTTCACTGTGCAGCGCCCCCAACTTGAGGGGGCTCCCAAGGCTCAATAAGGTCTTTGAGGAGAAGCCCCAACAGCTATGCTGAGGGAAGGGGCTCAGGTCAATCCAAGGGGGGAGGGAAAGAGAAGGAGGAGGCAAGGAGAAGAGAAGGGGAGGGGAAGAAGAGAGGGGAGGAGGAGAGGGGAAGAAGAGGGTGGGGGTGGGGAGAAGGAGGAGGAGGGGAGGAAGCCATTGCTCCAGCAATGTAGACTCAGGGCCTCATCCTCCCCAGAGGAGCGGACACCCAAACTCACTCCTCAGACCCAGGACCTCACCACAGAACCAGCCCCTGGAGAAGGACCATGCCTCAGTCAGAGACTCGTGGCCATGAGCCATCAAAACCCAACCAGACTAGCTTAAGGAAAAAGTGATTTTAAAAAATCCTGTTTCAGGCACTCAGGCAGCGAGGGTGGTGAGCTGGTCCTTCCGCCTCTTGTCTGCGCTTTCATCTCAGGCTCTGCCTGAGTTTTCCCAGTAGAGGACGTGGCCATGCAAGGCTGTGCTCAGTCCCAGTGGCCCCTGGCCGTGGGCTGCCCCTGGTGGCACAGGTAGGAGCAGGCCGCTGGCGCTGCAGGGCCTGATGATGCCTCTGAGCTGCGCCAAGCTGTGTAGAGCAGGGAGGATTTCTAGCCAGCTTCCCATAGCCTAGCCTGTCACCGTGCACACGGGCATTTCTTCCTTGTCTCTGCCAGAAACAGGGTCCAGGGTGGGAAGTCTTTGCACATCCATCTCTCTAAGGAGTCATGTCTTTGGTCAGAAGTTCAGAGTTCAAATTCTTACAGATAGGGTGTCCCCACTGCTCCTCGGGGACCCTCTGTGACCCCTTCAACCAGAGGACAGCACCGGCCAAGACGAGCAAGATGGGCACCTTCACAAACACCAGGAGTAGGTAGTAGGTCCTGTGAGAGGAACAGTCGTCAGAGCCGGGGCCCCTCCATCACTCCCTGTCCTCGCCACTGTGCAGCAGAGACCCGGCCTGCAGAGTTGGAGACCCTGAACCCCCTACCCCACTCTGAAGATCTCCCAGGAATCTTGTTCATGGTCCAACCCTGAGGGCCCCTCGGATGTAACCTCAGCTGGCCTTGCACGGGCACTTCTTCCTTTCTAATTTTATTTCTGGGACTTCCCTTTGCCAAAGTACAAGGGAGATCTAAAACTTAAGTGAATGTTTAAATACAAAAAAAATCACTAGAGTAAAAGACACACTGGCACTAATCCCCTTCACTTCAAACACACTTATTGCATCATTCTTGCTACTTTGGGAAGCAGTTCTGGAAATCATCTTTTGTGGATGTCTTTACAAATTGTGATAAAAAAAAAAAATGGTGAATGTGGCTGCCCAGTGCCATTCAAATGGAAAGGGAGGCACATAAAAAAACATTAGAGTGGGTCCTCATCCACTTTGTTCACCAGATCTACCACCATGTGACTTCCAGCTCTTCCCCAAAGTCAAAATGACCATGAAAGGTAAGCATTTTGAATCCATGCAGGACATTAAGGCAGACATGAAAGCATAAGACACTCATGAAAGAGGACTTCCAGAACTGCTTCAGAAAGTGGCAAGAACAATGGGATAAGTGGGCTGGGGATTTAGCTCAGCGGCAAAGTGCCTGCCTAGCAAGCGCAAGGTCGTGAGTTTGGTTCCCGGTACCAGAGAAAAAAATCAAAAACAAACAAGCAAAAAAAAAAAAAAAACAATGGGATAAGTGTGTCCTAAATGAACGGGAGTATTTTGAAAGGGATTAATAATAATATGCCTTTTACTGTACTAAAATTTCAAAAAATGTAAACACACATTGTATTTTTCTATCCCATCTCATACATAGAAACCTGGAGGCCATCACATGCAGGCTATGTTTTCCTGCAGTGTCCCCCTAATGCCAGATTCATGTTGATAAATCACTCTCCCTACTCTGTGTCCCATGATGTCTTGCATCAGGGAGGTTGGTACCTTATCTCCCTTGGCACCCACGAGACCACTAGTGCTTTTCTATTGATCATCAAATGGGTGGTGATGCTTAGAGGGGAGAGTTCTGCGGAAGGCTTTTCTGGTGAGGGCTAGATGGGGAGAAGGTGGGTGAGGACCCATGGGGTGGAGGATGGGCGTGGGGCTTTCGCTCTGGCTGTAAAGGTGCTGGCACTAGAGACAGAAATGGGTACAGTCCTCAGGCTGGGATTTCCTAAGGGAGAAACTCAGGTGAAAGGCAGGAGGACATGGCCGTACAAGGCTGGACAGGAGAAGGAGTTCAGGGCCTTACCTTTTGTAAGAGCCAGAGGACACACCGATGCTGCTTTCATCACTAGGTCCATCAGGGGGTTTGGAGGACGTGGTGATTGTTCCCGCTAGACACAGGCAGAGTTTGCCAAAGGTTAGTAGGATAGAGTGCGGGTTTATTTGTGGGTCTAATGCAGCCCCAGCCCAGGAGACCCCCTCTGCCCTGGACTGGAAAGCTTCACCTCTTCAAATACAGTTCCCTGGGATTCCATTGAGTCATCTGACACCCAGCACACAGTCATCTCCCCCTGTCATTTTCAGGTGTGTAAAGAGAAATAAAAATTAAGTAGAAAAAATCACCATCATTTATTCATAATCTCTTTCCACTTACTGTTGGGGAAAACAAAATGTCTGGTTCTTTCAACTCATTTGGAACCCAAACTGGGCTCAAGAAAAAGTCCCAGAAAATGGGGTGCCCAGTGATTAGAGTGATCAGGGAGAGGAGGGCTCTGGAAGACCGGTGAGTAGAGGGTGCATTCCAGTTAAATCATGAACAGCTATGAGGAATGAAACATTTTGTATGAGATGATTTATGGTGGGCAGTTTTGTCCTATATTCCTGAGACATTCTTGGCCTTGAGCGTTCCTGATCTGTAGCTTTTTTCCTTTTTCAGTAGTGGGGATTGAACCCAGGACTTTGTCGCTAAATTATAACCCCAGCTTTTTTTCATTTTTTGAGACAAGTTCTGACTAAGTTGCTAAATTGCTCAGGCTTGGCTTGAACTTGAGGACCTTGAGATCCTCCTGCCTCAGACTCCCAGAATGCTGGGATTACTAGAGTGTCCCATCATACCTGGCTTGTAGATACCTTTTCATTTAGTCTTTGGCCTGGCCAGCTCTTTTTTCAAAGGTCCCCAGCTGCCATCACCCCAGGCAGCTTCCAGCTGAGCTCCAAATACTGTAATTCCAGTCCTAAAACCTCCTGTGGAGGTCCCTGATTGCTATATAGGCTGGTAGTCTTACGGGCCACATTAGGACTCCTAAATACCTTCTCCTGAAAGCTCTACGCTGGGCATATTCTTTTCCTTCTCTGTCTCTTGCCCACGTGTCTTACCCAATCCCCTTCCCATCCCCAGAGACCTTTTGAACTTCCCCTACATTGTAGCTCTGGGGAAGTCCTGCTTGAAGGGCCTTTTCTGGACCCACTTCACCCAGAAGCACCCCAGGATTCTCTCACTGGTTTCAACTAGCAACACACAGGCTTATTTGGAAGCTGACACCATCTATACACCCATCACCATCAGCGACATGGACACAGGGCTGAGGATGGCTGAGCACCAAGGAGCTGGGTGGAAGCAGAGAGGGCTCATCCTCGGGCACCAGCAACAGCAGCAGAAGGACCCTGGAGCCCCTTGGAGGTCTGAGGCATGATGGAGGTGCCAGGCAGTCAGAGAGCTGCCTGATGTTGACTTTCAAGCGAAGCCCTCCTTTTCAGCTATGTGAGGAACTTCCCTGGGTCTACCACCCGTTGTTCACTCTTCTGCAGCCAGAAAGTAGAGGAGGGACACTGCTGAATGCTCAGCAGCACTCTGGCTGGTCAGGGGTAGGGGTTAACACTGGATCCTCTGAGTTGTCCCAGCTCCCCATTGCCCATGTCACAACAGACCTGTGGTATTATTTCCAGGAGACTCACCACTCCATAGACTGATGCCTTGGGACCCTCCCCAAGCATCCAAGGCCCACCCAGGGCTCCAATGGCAGAATGAGGCTGCTAAGGCTGTGTAGACCCAAAACAGTAGGGCTGGGCCATGGGTTGCTGAAAGAGAGGTCCATATCCTCTCCCCATCCTGAGATCTACCAACCATGCCCTGTGTCAGTGGAATACCTCAGAGGACCTCAGAGATGGGGCTAGATGTGCTAGGCTGTTGCTCTTCCTTGCTGTTCTCAACTCTCTCCCGTCTGTCTGTCTGCCTGCCTGCTTGTCTGTCTCTCTGTCCCCTAGGCTGCTGCTCATTTCCCTCCCGCCCTTGCTGGGAGGGGAAACAAGCACTGACTTTTTCCATCCTAAGCACCAGGGCCTCATAGCACAGACGAAAAAGTTCTTACCTGGGTCAATGGTCACTTTAACCGGTGTCCCAGGGTCAGTAAAGGATCTCTCAATCCCGCACCAGTAAGTGTCCGCGTCACCTTGCCTGAGACCCTCCATGGTCACCTCGAATGACAAGTTTCTCTGATTGTCCTTGATGGATACCCGGCCACTCTTCTCTTCTTGCTCTGAGCCTCTGGTTTTTACAAGGATCTTGCATGCATGCCTCCTTGCTCCTCGACACCACCACTTATTGTAGGTCTTCCATCTCGGGTGATAGTGACACTGCACGGTCACGAAACCCCCCTCTGTGCCTCTCACAGACTCTGGGCCTTGGAGGGAGAAACAACCTGGAAGAAAGAATCACCAAGTACAGCTCTTGTCACCTGGAGCCAGACCGATGTCCAGAGACTGGAAGAGGGTCCCAGCTACCCCCCCAACCCTGACACACCTGGCTTTTTGCACCCACCTCCTCTGAGGTCCGGCCTCCTGTAACCCCCAGCAAGATGCTCAGGCTCCCCAGACTTCCTCTCCCTAGGCCTGTGATGCTTCTGATTTTCTGTCACTGTCTTTTCCTTCTTCTCTGTCTACTCAGCCCCTATCAATTCTCTCTGCTCTTTCTCTCTCTTTAAATCTTGGTAGTGTGTTAAATCTCCAGTAGTGTGTTAGTAAATATTTAGCACCAGCTTTCTGTGGAAAAAAATCCTCTGGTTCATAATATTTTACCAATATCTTTTTCTTTTTCTTTCTCCTCTTTCTCTTTCTCTCTTTCTCTTTCTCTTCTTTCTTTCTCTTTTTTTCTTTTCTTTTTGAGACAGGATCTCACTCTGTGGCTCAGGCTGGCCTTGAACTCACTACATAGCCCAGGCTGGCCCTAAACTCACTGCAGTCTTCTTGCCTCAGCCTCCTGAGTGTTGGGCTAACAGGTGTGCACCACCACACCTGGCACGTTTTGCCAATTTCTGTGGTGTAAATGCTCCCATTATGGCTGGTGACAGGCTATTGATGTTTTCTTGTTGGACACACTGAGCAGAGATGTCTACAACCTACTCTTCTGAGACAGTATGATCTGGCTGCATATGCCACAGGGCAGCCTGGGGACCCCTTCCAGCATTCAGCTTGTTTTACTTGTGTCCCCAGAGAGGAATTCCCTCTATTGCCATGGCTTCCATTGTTGCCTAGATCCTGGATCCCCAAAATCCATTCTCATAGCTCAAATTCTCCCCTGTGCTTCAGCCCACCACTTACAGGTACACACCAGATATCTCTCCCTCATTCAATAGGCACAGAGCTGAAGGCGGTGCCTCTCCTAGCCTGGCGATTCTTCTGTCTCTTCTCTCTAGAGGTCCAGGCTGGGAGTCTGCGGTAGAACAGATTGGCAGCACCAGGCAGGTGCCACATTCTCATACCTTGGACCTCCTCCCTGCGTTATTTCTGTTAACTTGAGATTTGCACTTGTGGTCAGCAGGATAATGCCCCCTCAGATGTTCATATCTCAATACTCAGAACATATGACTATGTCCTTCACATGGTAAAAGCGAATAGGCAGATGTAATTAAATAACTGAAAGCAAGGAGATGATTCTGTATTATCCTGTGGGTCCTTATAAGTGAAAGAGTTAAATGAGAGTTAGGTTTGATGATGTCCTATTGCTGGCTTTGAAGATGGAGGAGGGGCCATGGGCCAAGGAAAGCAGAGGGCTTCTGGAAGAGGCAAGGAAGCAGATTGTCCCTTAAAACCACAGAAGGAACAACCTTGACATTGGCCAGGAAGATCATTTCAGACTCCTGCTATTCAGAACAGTAAGGTCATGAACTTGTATTGTTCTAAGCTGATGAGCTGGTGGTAATTTGTCTCAGCAGCCATGAGAAATTCATCAGCAGAACCAACTTTGTGGTCTTCAGACCATTGACTCCACTATGGAGGCTCCCTAGGAAACTTGGCATCCTCATGGGTCCTGTGCTCTCTGAAAGTGATTTCAATACCTTGCAAATGTGCCTTGCATGATTGTTTTCTTTCAGTCTCTGCTGTTGAAGTCCACAGAGACAGCACGACCAAGCAGAAAGAGTGTGAGCTTTGTATGCAGAAGATGCATCTATCACAGACTAGTTGGGAAACCTTGGGTGCGTTACTTAACTTCTCCCTTACGCAGGTTGTTGCAAGATTTAGACATGTGTCCAATTATATTTGGGGGTGTTTTGTCAGCAACTGCCCATCAACAGCCCATCAACTGTCCACCTCGTCTGGTGCCTGGATTGTGGCAGAGCCTCCAAGTCTGTGGCATCTGTCTTCCAATCTCCTTTCCATGTTGCTGTCAGTTATGTCCTTGACACTGTCTACCACTCAGCTGCGCTTGCTGCGAGCACTTGAGTCTTTCAAGATCCTCCTGCAGCCATCCTCCCCTGCCTCACAGGGATTTAAATGCTTCATTTTGGCGTTAATGTCTTTTATGCAAGTTGGATCCTACTTCTTGTCCAGCCTCACTCTTGTCCCTCCTTGTCTCAGGCTCTAGACTGTAAGTCACCTCCACTTTCCTCCTCCCCTCTGATGTGCCCTTATGTACTGCCTCCTGCCTGGAAGCACCCGTCCAGTGCTTGCCCGACTCCCAGTCACCTTCCACACCTCCTCCAAGGTGCGGGCCCTGTGCACTGCCTTACAGCCCTTCCCATGCCACCTCCTCCTGCTGCCCCGGCCCTTCCTTCAGAGTCTGAACATCACACTGGCATTTTATTTCAGTTAGCTGTCTCTTTTCCTGTCTTCCTTGTGAGGATGTGCACTCTCAGAGAGCAGAGCTTCTGTCTTTATTCCCTCTCTCTCTCTGTCTCTGTCTCTCTGTGTGTCTCTGTCTCTGTCTCTGTCAGTGTCTCTCTCTCTCTCTCTCTCTCTCTCTCCCTCTCCCCCACTTCCCCTACTCCCAGCCCCATGGTCTTGCCCATTGTGTGGCTCATGGTAGGTACCAATTAAGTTGGAGATTGTTTTTGAAAAGAAGCAGGACACCATGATCTTGGTCATAATCATTTCAGTTCTAGGGTTAGCTGCAGTTTCCACAGCAATGGACAATGCAGTATAGGGTGTTAATTATAGTACTGATGTAACAGTAATCATAGGAAGAATTCAAAGGCCATTAACAGGGAATTAGCCAGGTATGGTGGTGCACGCCTGTAAACCCAGTACTTGGGAGGCTGAGGCAGGAGGATCATTGTGAGTTTGAGGACAGCCTGGGCTACAAAAGTAAGCTCAAGACCAGCTTGAACTGTATAGTTACACCCTGTCTCAAAAAGACAAAAAAAAAAAAAACAAACAAACAAACAAAAAAAACCCAAGTAATTAAACTAAGAAGTTATGGTCCACAGAATGGTTTTTTTAAAAAGACAGCTGGGTGTGGTGGCACACACCTGTCACCGCAGCTACTTCAGAGGTAAAAGCAGAAGGATTGAAAGCTCAAGGTCAACCTGAGTAACTTAGCAAGAACCTATCTTAAAATAAGTGGGTTTAGCTCAGCGCAGAGCTCCCTATGTTCAATCCCCAGCACAGGGGAAAAGAAAGACACATTTTCAGACAATGACGGGCGAGCTGTCCAAGATACATTATTATTAGATTTTTTGAAAAGTTGCCTAACAGACTATGTGATTCCATATCTGTTTTTTTTCTCTATAGCACATGCATTTAAAAAAATCTGAGGACATATGTTCCAAACTTTTAACAGTTGTTAGCACTGAGATGGGGTTTTGCACGGAACTTTCTCTTTCCAAATCATACATTCCTATTGTGTAGGAATGTTTGCAAGGGTGTCAGTGGATAAAAGAGTAAGAAAAACATCTCAAAAATAAAAATGGGTAAACTAGGAAAAGGGTTGTTAAAAACCAGAAACTGGGGGGCTGGGGATTTAGCTCAGCGGCAAAAGCGCCTGCCTGGCAAGCTCAAGGTCGTGAGTTCGGTTCCTGGTTCCAGAGAAAAACCAAAACCAAAAACTGAAAAACTGAAAAACCAAAAACCAGAAACTTCAGTGAACTAAAATCAAATGCAGGAGTCAGTAAGTAGGGGCATGTTTTTTCTTCAAAGAAAAATAAACCCATTACAATAGAGAGGAGGGGCTCGGTACAGATTATGCTTGCAGCCATCACAAGCAGCAGAGAAGACTCATGGAGGATTGTTCCATCAGGCCCAGCATTAGTGACTGCATGTGACTGTAAGGCACTCACACTGTGGTCAGGCCCATTTTAAAAAGTGGGGCGGGGGGGATTGCAAACATGGATAATGATGGATAGAGCCAGTGATTAAAACTGGAGGGCAAGGCAGGTTGTAAGTTCAAGTCCAGCCTGGACAACTTAACAACTCAGTGAGACCCTGTCTTGAAAGAAAAAAAAGAAAGGGCTGGCAATACAGCTCAGTGCAAAGGCCCTGGGCTCAATCCCAGGGACAGTGACAATAGAATTAGTTTGAGGGGAAAAGGAGGTGGAGGCAATGAGACAGCAGTCCGTGGGGAGCAGAACTCTGGGGTAGCCAGAGTTCTGGAGCCAAGGGCTTCCAAAGCAGAAGGCTCTTTAAATTTTAGTTTTCCATTTTTTGTGAATCTGAGATATAAACTTTCCCTTTTGTATCAGTCCTTCCTGTGTGCACATAATCCTTGCCTGAATAATCCCCAAGTATGACACTTTGTGTCCCTGTAAGTGTAGGAGCTTAAGTGTGAGTTTGAATAGGAATGAGTGTGTGACCATGGATGAGGTGGATGGGGTGTGACAACATGCAAGTGTGTGCCTTTGAGTTCACTGTGTGTGTTTGTGTGTGTGTGTGTGTGTGTGTGTGCATGCATGTGTGTACATGCCCAAGTCTCCTCACCCAGCCCTTCTGCTCAGCCTCCAGGGTAGCCCAATGCTGGGATGAAGAGAAGGGACAGCTGGGGTCAAATGCAAATCTTGGGTCAGGGTCACATTCCCAGTTGTCCCTCCTAATTGTGTCTTTTGTGACCAGCCTCACACCTAGCCACTCCCCTGCAGGCATCCTGTGCACTCACAGCTCCTCTGCTTCTCGTGCTCTCCTTCCTGAGCCTGCACCTCTTTGCACAGTGGTGCTGTCCCTGGGATGCTTGTTGGAAGGACCGATCACTTCCTTTAAGAGGTAGCAAAGGACCGGCCTTTGGGATTCTTTCTCCAGCTCTCCCAGTGGGAAAGTCTCCCTGCTCTGAGCACATCTCTCCTGGTACCTCACTGCGCCCTGCCCTGTTCTTCAAATATGTACTCACCCACCAGGCTCTCTAGGGTCTTCTTTAACAGCCATCCCCATTTCCCTTTCCCCTTTGTATTCTCAGGGCCTGATGCGCACTGGGTATTATGTAGGGCCCAGTGCACTTCTACAGAATGAATTGACAAAACCACCCCTTATTTTGGTGGACAGCTGCCCTCTGCCTCCTGCTCTGCTCCTGTAGTAACAAGCCCCCAAGCCCAGCCCCACTCACCTGGGAGGCTAAGAAGGAGCAGAGCTGGAGGTAGCCACATGGTCCTGCTTCCCTGCTCACCGCTCTGACCTACAACAAGCAGCAGACAGATCCAGCTGGACTCTCAAAGGACTGCCTAAGCCCAGGCTTACCACTTCTGCTGTCCAGATTGCCTCTGATCGTCTTACTCATTCATTTCCTATTATAGAGTATTTCCTGCTTTTAATTACTCAGCAAAAAAGGGCGTCCTTTCTTGACAGGATTGGGTTATCAGTCAAGAATGTCCTTAAAAGGTGAGAAAGAGGAGGCAAGGGGCCTGCTCAGGGTGAGGAGAGGCAGGGGAGACAAGTCTTCAGACTAGTTGGGGGGCATCTAGTTTTTCAGGCCTTGGGTCAAGGCAGACAACACCACAGATGTCACCTCCAATAATGGATCTGCACTACAGTGATGAGGCCACAGCAGCAGGGAACCCCAACTCAAGCATCCTTGGCTATGTGAACATGCACTGGGTCAGGTGTCATAGCCAAGTTCATGAAAGTACAGGCTGTGGTCAGAGAGACTTGGGCTCTTATCCCTCTTATAAGCCATGACAACTTACTGAATCCTCCTGAACCTGTTTTTATGGGTGTGTGTGTACGTGTGTATGTATGTGTGTGTGTGTGTGTGTGTCTATAAATTGGGCTTACATGATTTTTGTGAGAGAATTAAATGAGAACACCTACATGAAGTTTTAGTTCTAAGAAACAAGTGAGTTGGGTCCCAAAATGGTAGAGCAGTGAATGCCAGCAACTCAGCTTCTCTAGGACAAAGCATCTAGCGTCTAGAAAACAACAGCTGGGAGAGGAATCAAAGTGAGTGGAAGTCACCTGGAACCACAAGGGAACTGACAAAGGGGGAAGAAAATAGGATTGAGTCATGCAGAGGAAGTAGATCACACTATGGAGAGACTGTGAAGCGGTGCGGAGAGCAGCCGGCTCACTGCCGGCTCGCTTCCAGCTGAGAGGCAAAGTGAACCTAACAACTTCTTTGCTCATAGAGAACCAGAGAACTGCATCAGGATGAAGAGAGCCATCTGCAGATGGACAGGTCACTGTTTCCGGAACAGCCTTCCGCAATCAATGGTTGGTGAGTGACTTCAGTACAAGTGCCTGCAGCAACAGCCCAGAAAGTAGGAGCTGGTGGGGATACCAGTGTAGGGAAGGGCTGAGTGCTTGAATCAGCCCCTTGGCTGCTTGACACTGCCAACTTCCCACAGTGGATGAAAGAAAGAAAGGCAGGGGCTTATGAACACAGATCTAGTTCCTGAAGTCAGAGGCCAGGTTCAGACTGAGTTACACGGGACTGGAAGCCCACATTGGCACTGCGTTCTCCCTGTAAGCAGATTCCTACACCCAGCGCCATTCTGGGGGTGGACTGCCACCTTAGACTTCCAGTGTGAGCAGAAACACATCGTGGCTTGAGCTCTGTTCCTTAACCCTAGGCTGAGGGAAGGAACCATGCATCCAAAACAATAGAAAATGTTCTTTTATTATTATTATTATTTTTAATTTTAAAAAGAAGAAGAGGAAAAAAACAAACACACAGGCAAAAACAAAGTAACAAAAAAACACTAAAAACTATACAGAATTTCAAAACAAGGTGATAGGAAATTAACAATAGTTGTTATAATACATATTGTTATCTTCAAAGTAGTTGCTCAGATCACCAGATGAAGGCATGCAAAATCGATCAAACAATTAGGCATTAACTGTTCCTTTCAACAAACCAATAGAAATCAGTGGTTAAATTACCCCAGCTATTTCATGTATTTGTCCTGCTTCTTTTCTCCTTCCCCCATCTCAGTTGTTCCTTCCTTTTAAAAAAAAAAGATAAACATAATAATGATAACAACTTTCAAAACAGGCTATTAGGACAGCTACACTGTTGAGACACTATGTATTGTTGAGACAGTATGTACTGTTATCTTGCTAGCTGTTATTCAGAGTAGAATATATAGGCAAGGTGTCTTGTCTAGACAATATTAGCAAAAAAACTTTCTTTTTAATAAAATAAGAGAAACTAACTGTGCAGCGATCTTAACTATCTTGTATATACATACATTTTTTTCCTTTCTTCATTTCACCTTTCCCCAACACAGTTTGTTTTCTTCTGAACAGTTTCTTCTTCTTTCATTTTCTTCTGAACAGTTTCTTCCCAATTCACAATATCTAGTGTACATTTTGGATCTTGTTATTCATTTTTTCACACCAGTGAGACAATACAATGTTTATACATATGGGTCTGATTTATTTCACTTATGAGTATGTTCTCAAGTTGCAACCATTTACCTTTAAAAGACTCCATTTTATCTTTTTTTTATGGCTGAGTAGTACTTCATTAAATTAAAAAAAAAAAAACCCTACTTTTTTTTATCTATCCTGTGTTGATGGACATCTGTGCTGTTCAAAGATTTAGTTATTACAAATTGTGCTGCTATAAATACAGTCACACATATATCATTGTAGTATGATGAGCTTAATTCTTCTGGGAAGATACCCAGAAGGGGAATAGCTGGGTTGAATGGGACCTCCAATCCCAGTTTTTTGAAGAGTCTGCACACTGATTTCCACAGTGGTTTCACCAGTCTACATTTTCACCAACAGTGGACGAGGGTTCCCTTTTTCTCTATAGCCCTTCCAGCATTTGTTAGCAGTTGATTTTTTGATGATAGCCATTCTTTCTGGGGTGAGATGGAATCTCAATATTGTTTTAATTTGCATCTCTCAGATGACCAATGACATTGAACATTTTTTCATATATTTATTTACCATTTGTATTTCTTTATCTGAGAAGTGCTTATTCATCTCTGATACCCACTTTTGGATTGGGTCTTTGAATTGGGGGAGTCTTTTTTTCAATTCTTTATATGTTCTGAATATAAGTCCTTTGTCTGTGGGACAACTGGCTATAATGTTTTCCCACTCTGTAGGTTGTCATTTCACTTTGTTGGTGATTTCCTCAAATCACAGCAGACTTCTCAACACAAACCCTAAAGACTTGGAGAGCATGGAATGAAATATTTCAAGCTCTAAGAGCAAGTAACTTCTAACCCAAATTAACTTCCCAGAAAAGCTATCCTTCAAAAGGATAGCAAGAGGGAGAAGTAAGGTATTTCCATGCAAAAGACCAGCTCAGAAGGTATATGAGTGCAAAACCAATCCTAGAGAAAATACTTTAAAATATTCTTGACAGAAACAATGAATTGCACACAGCTAAAAACACAGAGGAAACTAATGAGACCAGCAACAAAAAAACATCAGGAAATAATAAAAATAAACAGCAACAAAAAAACATCAGGAAAAGAAAACCAAAGATTATACCAATAGATAAAGAAGGAAATGTCAGTAATATCTCTCAATGCTTATGGCCTCAATTCTCTAATTAAAAGACACAGATTGGCAAACTGGATTAAAAAAAACAGACCCAACAATCTATTTCATTCAAGAAACTCCTCTAATCCAAAAAGATCTCTGTAGACTAAAAATTAAAGGATGGAAAATAATATTTCATGCACCAGAACCCTGAAAACAACCAGGGGTAGTGATTCTAATATCAGACATGGTAAATTTCAAGCTAAAAATGAGTAGAAGAGACAAGGTCACTACATACTAGTTAAGGGCATAATCCAAGAAGAGATAATGTTGATAAACATATATGCACCAAATATTAAAGCACCTATCTTCATAAAACAAAAACTGTGGAAATTAACAGAGATAGATCAACTAAACAAGAAATCAATAAAGAAATTTCAGTGCTGAATCACACCTTTGAACAAATGGATTTAATGGATATATACAGAGTTTCCACCTCTCTACAAGACAGTATACATTCTTTTCAGCAGCAGATGTTACTTTTTCCAAAAATAGATCACATACTAGAAGTCCACAAAGCCTGCTTACATAAATATAAAAGAATAGAAATTATCTCATGCATACTATCAGGCCACTGTGCAACAAAA